ATATATATATTTTTAAACAGAAATGCCAAACTAATGTAATATTTGCAGCTAAAATTTTTGGGCTGAAATTACCCATAAAGTTTACGGTTAATTTTTTTTCTTTTTTCCTTTATGGTTTTGTAAATGTTTACAATTGATACAGTTAAAAAACCGTGAATACAGCATTATTTACTTATTTTACTTTTAGAAATTTTCTGAAATGAGCCTTAACAGACTTTGAAGCGCAGTGGGTGCTCCGCCATTGCTGCATAAATGATAGTTTAGTATTCTATTACTCCAGGGTCACCGATTGAAGAGTGCATGACGCTAGAAGTCTTCTTACGTTTAAGGAATGGAAAAAATATCGTAGTAACAACAATAGGATTCGTACACATGTTTAGGCGGTTATGAGATAAACTGATTAGCCCATCACAGTATGTACCCAGCAACATGGAACAAAAAGGTTTTTTAAGGTGGGCCTAGTTGGCGAGGATAGAATTCTGCATGTTTAACCTTATTAGGAGAAAAACAATCAATAAAAATTTTTCTTAACACTTAACTGTTTGAATATTATCTTTTTTACGGTTGTTTGACGGTTTTGATAGAATATGGTAAAATAGCAATTAAATAAATTGCTATTTAACAATTTTTACTGGGAAATTTCTAACAGTGTTCATCAATATTTTCGTCTTTATGTATGTACATTATTGAATTAAATCTTACTTTTCTTTTAACTAACAGATACCTGCAATACAAATTAATTTAAAACATTACCATTAATTAATTGAATTCCTCTTAAATATTTTAATTTTTCCCCTAATAGTTTTCTTTATGACTACTAGTAATAGATTTTTGAATAGAAAAGAACATTGTACACCGAAAATAGTTAAATAAATGTTTCACTAACTGCAATATTAATGATTTCAAGAATGATAAAACATAATACTTTTGTATTTAATTAATCAATTTGAAATTGGGGAAACTAAATGTTAATTAAAGACTTAACATTAAAATTATGACATTGTGAAGTAAAACATTTCCCTCAGGAGTTAATTATGTCTCAAATTTCCATTTCTGGAGATTTACTTGATTGTATTAAAATTTTCAACGCTTGTTTACATTGTTATGAATTATTCAAAGAACAAAATTATTTTGTATTAATTGAAACATAAAACTAGATTATTCGGTGTTGTTTAAGACATTTTAAGTGGCTATTTTTTACAAAAGAATAAAGCAAATGTCTATATAACATGCAAATTAAAAGAAAATAACGTTCTTAGGAACATTTTATTTTAATTTGTTGTAAAAATAAATTAAATAAGAATGTTCATACCTAACATTTCTGGATAAAATGAAAATGATAATAATAATAATACCTGAAAATTATCTGTATAAATAAATTAACCATCATATTCAGATTGGCACATAAATGCATGCAATAATGGAAATAATAATAATAAGGTTTGAATATTACAGAACTTGTAAACATATTTAAAAAAATTTTTAAAACTGCTTATAATTACTTTTACCACAATTAACAATTTAATAAAATCTAATTTACTTATTCCAGTTTAATTAATCTTGCTTACATATGAATTACTAATTTACTAAAGCAGAGATAATATAATTTTTAAGCATAATACTAAAATTATTTTTCATTTTCAAGTTATATTTCTTATTTATTTTACACATACATTGCATTAATACAACTAATACTTATTATAACTACAGCTTCTATATTATAACTACAAAAAAAAAAGAGATAAGAAAATAAAAGGAATATATTTCAATGAATCAATTCCCACACCCCTGCAATTTTTAGACTGAGTGATGGGTAGCAAGAAAAGGAGAAAAGAAAGGGGGAGGGCAAAAGTACACCTGAGGGGTGTACTTTTGCCCTTCCTCTGTTATCTAGAATTGCCACCCACAATACCCCGTTGAATACGTGACTACTTCACCTGTATTATCAAAGTTATAAACTAAAGGTCAAATAAAACAGCTGATCTATCCGTATAAAAGGGCAAGCAATATTCTTAAATCATATTTCCATTTTAACATTTATACAGAGTGGAGATCCAGGCTTTAAGCATACGGGTGAGTTTATATATTTTTTTAGTTATTTTGCAGTAATAATAATTTTAAGCAGAAATTGAAAATCATTTTATTTTAAAGTTAAAAGTAAGAATTATTTTTTGTTCGTAAAATCTTCCCATATTAATAAATTCGTTTAGGTACTTCACAGTTAAATTATACTCCACGCTTCTTACTCAAAAATCTTACTTGAGTATAATTTTTAGATGTAATCTCTTTTAACTACATTAAATTATTGGTACTTTTACTGGCACTAATTCTCGCTATTATTAGGAGAAAGCATAAAACTTTTTCCTTATTTTGCAGTAGTAGTATAGCAATTAAAAATTACTTTACAATGAAGTTAAAAATGAGAAGATATCATTTGTTTATTACCCTTACCCAATGTAATTATATTTGGTCATTTTCGAGCGAAATTACCACCCATAATTCTTACTCTAAGTTCTTTAACTTGGATACAATTTTGAAGATAGTCTTTTTTTTTTAATTTTTACTTTTACTGTTACTGATTTTAGCTACTCTTAGGTGAATGCAGAATATATTTTTCCTCATTTTGAAAGCATTCCTCATTTTGAAAGCATTCCTCATTTTAGCTAGCAATTAAATTTTATTTTATTTTGAAATTAAAATATTATTTGCTTAGCTCATTTTAATTAACGCATTTTACAGTTATATTACCTTTTAAATAATTTTTTTTTTTATCTTGAGAATAATTTGTTTATGTATATCTCTATTATTTACTTTTAATGGTACTTGTTTTTGCTTTTATATATTCGTTTTGAAAAACATCACTTTTTTATTTATTTTTTAATTTTTTTTTAATGCATCAATATCTCTCTGTATTATCATATTGAGGACAAATGGAAGAATTTCAAATTAAAATTTAAATTTACTATGAATAAAAACTAGTGTTTTTATCGTAAAACATTGCTTTAATTAAGAAAAGATAGAAAAAATATATACATTATAAAGCATAAATTATATATTATAAAACATATATTATGCATTATAAAACATAAATTAAAATTTAAGAACTCGATCATCAAGTTTTGTGAGCATTCTCATTTATTTACTAGTTCTATACATTTTAAATATAATTATTATTCTATTATATTGAAAATGAATGGAAATTTTTTGGAATGGAAGTTTAAAATTATAATTCAGACGATTCTTTTTAAATAATTAGCTGAGTTAAATTCTGACTTTTGTTCTAATATTGAGAAGAATTCATGTTCTAACAAGCAACGTACTCTTTTAAAAAAAAAGAAAAAATGGAAATAGCTGTACAACAATATTATCAAAAACTCTGAAAAGACTCAATGAAAAGTTTCAAACAAAAATAAAAGTTTTGTTAATTATTTCTTAAAGATAACATCGTCTTAATCATTCAATTTCATAAAAACAATATCTTCACTGGAAAAAAATCAGAAATAATAATTCAGTTGGTTCAGTCAATTCAGTTGGTTTAATAATTTAGTCTCGCACATTTTTTGCTTAAAACTTAAGAACCAAATCACGATTTTTTAATATGCTTTCTTTTTTTTTATTCGGTGGCACTCGTTTTTTGCATTATTCTTTTTTGCTTTAAAAAACATCGTAAGTGCTCATAATAAAAATATTTTTTATGACCGTCATTCTTATTTGTATTGTAATTATAAAAAATAGGAGATTGAAAATTTAAATTCAATTTCTTGTTTGTAAAATACTAATAAGGTTTTCCTAATTCGCATTCTTTGTTATTAGAAAAAATAATCTTATTTAAAATAAATTAGAAACATCAATGCAAGCCAGAAAATTAATTGTTTATGTGCGAAGTATTTTTTTCCTAAGGAATTCATCCTTAACTATTACTTAAAAAGAGTAATTGCAGATAATTAACTTAATGCTTCTTTTTTCTTTCGAATTTTCATGAATTCAATGCTTAGAGAATTTTTTTTAATGTGAAAACGATTAAAAAAAACAATATCTTAATGAGAATAAGCACTTCTTAATTTTAAAACAAAGGAAATAATATCTTGTATTTTTTATTTCTTTAAATTATTTTTATTGATTAATCAATTTAATGAACCACAAGTGTACTTGAAGTGCATTTCTGAAAATACGAGATTACAAAAACATTAGGTCTTAAAACATGTAGAAGAATTTTCATATTTTTCTTAATTCCTCAACACTTTCATTGTTAGAGATTCTTGTAGAGATTGTTAAAGATTCATTGTGGAGATTCCTGGTAAAAATGTTTGAATAACAATTTAGTTAATTGATATTTTACCATGTTCAACTTAAACAGTCAAACAACCATTAAAAAGATGATAATTAAACTATTAAGAGTGAACAAAAAAACGTTTTTTGTATGTTTTTATCTTCTAATACGGTTAAACAATAATTTTTTTTATTTCTTTAAATTATTTTTTATTAATTAATCAATTTAATGATCCTCAAGTGTAATTGAAGTGCATTTCTGAAAATAAGAGATTGCAAAAACAAAAACATAACATACGAAAACATAAACTTAAAACATGTAAAAGAATTCTCATATTTTTCTGAATTCCTCAAAACTTTCATTGTTAGAGACTCTCGTAGAGATTGCTAGGGATTCTTGTAGAGATTGTTTGAGATTCATTGTAGAGATTCTTGGTGAAAATGTTGGAATAGCAATTTATTTAGTTGTTATTTAAACATGTTCAACTTAAACTGTCAAACAACCATTAAAAAGATGATATTTAAACTATTAAGAGTGGAAAAAAAAAACGTTTTTTGTTTGTTTTTATCTTCTAATACGGTTAAATAATCAAATAGAGCCAGAATTTTATCTGCGCTATATGGGCTGTCCATTTTGTTCTGTGCAGCTGGGTACATAATGTAGTGGGGCGGTGATAGCGGATTGTGCTAATGGTTTTCTCAGACATGGTGAACTGCGTTGCTAACATCTTATCCCCCTTTCGAAAGGTTGGTCAACTGAGCTCAAGGTAACCCTTATGACCATCCCTCTTACTTCAATTATGCTTTAAAACAATTTCTGATAGAAACGTCGTCTCGCCAATATTTTTCGCCAGAAGCTAGTGTGCTGTGGGGGGGGGGAGGATATAGCAATAAGTAGTCCTCCATTTTTAGGTAATTTTCAATTGAAAGGAGTTTTTATATATTGTAAATTTTGATATTTATCTAATTTCAAAATGCAAACTAAGAAAAAAAAATTTTGTTGTTAATTTTAAGGTGATAAGGAGCTTTTAAAGTTCTGAAAATCGGTCTAAATTTTATTTAGACAGATGCGATTCCTTCAAGAATATTGGTTAAAAAGTTTTGCCAACTTATCATCTTAAATTAGTTAAAAAGTATAAGTTCTGGGTGCAGAATTTTATTTAAATTGTAAAATCCTTACTTTAATATTTAGAACTTTGATTTTAAAGAATTTTAAACCAGTCTATATTAACCAAACTTCTGCATATTATTTTTTTGAAAAAGATTTCCACGTAAAATGTTCGAATTTTTACCGTTACACTAAAAAGTTAATGACTACAACTCTGACCAGAAGTCATGGTTGGCAAAACCTTTTTTTTACTCCAAAATTGTTCACATTTGATTTGAATTAGATGTTTTTTTAAAACAAAATTTATTGAATTTCTTAAAATTTACCATTCAAAGCATCTGATAAAAGATTTTAATAACACTATTGTGTAAAAGAAATAGAACTAAAATAATTAATATTTCATACTAAAATTAATAAAATTATTATATTATTACAAACTTATCACTGAGCTAAAAAAAATCACAATTATATTTTTCAGGCTCAACTTGGTAATAATTGTTAAAAATCGGGAGACAGTTTTTCAACTAGATAACTAATGAAAATTAATTAGTTTAGATAAGAAAACATAACTGATAAATCGTCTTTGGTTTGAAGAAGTCTTGATACACTCTAACTACATATTCAATAAGATATAAAAGCATTGCATGTTAATTAGCAAAAAAGTAAATGGATGTAATTGAAATATGTTTTTAGCCAGAAAATTATTTTAAATATATTAAATAAAAAACTACTATTTAAAAGTTCCATATCTCCCTTATTCACGCATAGTCTATTCTGAAACATAATAATTTGCATGCGATTCGATATTTCTTAGTAAAGAAATTCTCGTTATCAATAAAATCGGACTTAAAGAAATAGCTCTCAAGAGAAAGTATTTATTTATTTTATTGTAAGGAAATATTTTTAATTATAATTTTTCAATTAATATTTTTTCATTATTTTGCTGAAATTATTTATTTATTTTTTAAAAAAAAAATCACTTTTGATTTGCATTAATGCATTTTTTAATGAAAGGGATAATTAGTCATTTGAATGCACATGCCTTTCATTATTTCGCAGTGAAAAATTTTTGATACACTCTAACTACATATTCAATAAGATAAAAAAGCATTGAATGTTAATTAGCAAAAATGTAAATGGGTGTAATTGAAATATGTTTTTACCCAGAAAATTATTTTAAATATATTAAATGCAAAACTACTATTTAAAAGTTTCATATCACACTTACACACGTATAGTCCATTTGGAAACATAATAATTTGCATGCATATCAACAGTGACTTCCTTAATAAGCATACATTATCAATTAAATTAGACTTGTAAAAATTCCTACCTTAACAAATGTATTTATTAATTATACTGCATGAAAATATTTAAAATTTATATTAATAATTTTTTTCTAAATTAATTCATAATTGATGTCATAAAAACTATATTCGTTTAAGTTAATGTTTTTTTTTAAATTACAGCTGATTTCAATTAGTGATTTCTTTAAAAATATACAAATGATTTAATTTACGATTCTAATCATGACTGAAATCAAGTAATTTAAATTATGCCAACACTAACAGAAACTTCGATACTTTTCTATTAAATTTATGATATTTTCAAGGAAAAACATTAGAGTTGAATTATTATACCATTTTTTTCCATTTGAAATGATTTTTAACCAATTCTTTCTGCTTTGCTTTCTGCAACTTTGTAGTAAAAATTTGATTTTCAATTTATATAGAAGACAAATTTTAGGATGCTTATACTCAAATATTTACTACAAAGTTACAATGAACAAAGAAGAAAGAATTGAAAATCATTTCAAACGAGAAAAAAAAAGAAAAATGGAGGGAATAATTTGACAAAATAATGTTAATGTTTTCCTTAAAAACATCATAAATTAAACGAAAGGTTTGCATTTAAAATAAAAAAAGTATACGTATAAAAGTATATATATTTAGAAAAATATTTAAGCATCAATTTTCTTAGACATGGCTATACATCCCCGGATAAGTTAACAAAATTACTTAAAAAAAATCTTTCTTAAGGCTGTTAAATATAACAAACTGACTTCTATAAATTAGACAAAGATTTATACAAACACTCATATTAACATAAAAATAGTTATGTTAATGATTTTACTCTCATAAAATCTATGCATTTTGCCCTAAAATTATCATTAAATAGAAATGTTGAAAATATTTTTAAAATGATAACTAGTAAGTTACATGAGGAGACCTCTTCTTGCTCAAAAGAAAGAAATTCAATTCAGAACGAAAGAATATATTAATTAATGACATAAATTATGTCCAATGCTATATTAGTGGGAAAAATCGTGAAATAAAAATATCTATAAATATATGTGGGAAAAAATAATAAAAGAAAAAAAGAGTAAGTTTTGAAAGCAGTTTTTAAATTTGCTGAGAATAGTTAGTTTGCTTAAATAAAGCATTTTTACATGTATTTTATTCTAATTGTAAATCTAATCCTGATTACAATATCTGAAATTTAATAACTTGGCATAATATATTTTAATATATTTCTCGGCCAAGTAGAAGCCGGTTGCCAAGATAGTGCTTGACTTTTATAAATTACACATGTCATTGAGAAGAGAGACCTACATGGAAGCGTAAACAACTAGAAGTGCAATCAGCAGACTGTTAGGGGAGGAGGTTATATTTTAAGCAATTACTGAGCACAGTCCACCACTTCCAGTAGCGGAGAGAGCTGATTTTTCAATCACATGACAGGCTGACAGGGGTTCGAATCCCAGCCTTAATATTAACCTATTTCTTCACTACATGAAGAGTTTCCAGTGTCCTGCACACACTTCAGTCAGTAGATGGTTACTAAACCGTGTAGTTTTGTATTCTCTGCCTTTTTTTTTTTACCATACCACTTGTTAACTGTCTTAAAACCATAAAAGTAAATATGCTCCTAACCATAAACTTTATGGTTAATCGGATGGAAGGATTGCTACCGGTTATTTTACCGTAATTTCAGAATGAAAGTTTTATCAGAGTTACGCTTATTTTTCAGCAATAAAAGACATTTTAATTTTATATTTAAACTGTTTTACAAAATTTATTGTTTTAAAATAACGTGTTCAAAAATGTGATAGTAATTTTAACTTATTTAAGTGCCACACACTGATTTGAAAAATATGAAGGTTTTTGGGAACAATAAATACATTTATTTTTTGTCCTCGTTCACAAATTTTGTTTGTAATTTAATTTTTAACTACATTCGACTTTTTGTTTTAAATCTAGGATGCTTGCACATTTTAAGATTTGACAAATTATCCCAGCAAACATATTTTAACTTATACAGTTTTTCACAAATTATACTTCTTTTGATCACAAATTATATTCTATATTATTATTTCCATATTATTTCGCAAATTATACTTTTGATCGTTCGTATTAAGTTAGATATTATTTCAAGAGACCTATTTACTTTTGTTTTAAGCATAATTTTTAAATGGATTGCTAGTCTTCCCACCAGCTTTATTAATATTTAGTGTATGATTTTTAAACATTTCCAAAAAGTTTGTTTCGTTTTAATTATAAATTATCACCTAAGAGACATTACTTGACTTACATTACTTATTGTTTTACCTATTACATCCATATTTTTGCTCATATTTTTATCCTTGTGATTAATTTCTGATGTGTGATTATAATTAATGTGCTAATTAACTCATATTGAGTTTGCCCTCTATCATTTTCTTTTCTTTTTTTTAATTCTGAATTAAAATTATATCTGAATTTTCTAGGTGCATTTTTAATTTATGCTTAATTTTATACCTGGATTCATCTAGTTATATGAATTAATACACTTTCATACAACACTAAATTTTTAAAAAAAATGTTTTATCTCTCGTGTTTTAATATTGTATTCAATAAAATGTTGATGTTAACAATTATTAAAATTGACTCTTTTTTAAACTCTTTTTTGGTGATACTGTAAACTCTCGCTTTAACGATATGCGATACAATAATGACTTCTTCCACTAACAACGAATTTCCTAATATTCTCTAAAGCAATAAGTCCCTTAAATTCTTGTTAAATTATTTATTTCTCGATTTCCCCATTATTGATCCATTTTATTATGATATTTTGATTTTAAAACACTGAAAAAATCTTTAATTTTGAAATTTTTTGGGTATTTTTCCCTGTCTTATAAGATAAGTCTCACTCTTAATTTTCTCATTTCACTGTTATTGCTCAGTTATTGTTCAGGAGGAGACAATACAATCCGATCCTTCAAATAAGTGGGGAGCCGTCTGAGTGTTTCCATTCTTGGAATTGCTTCCTTTATTTATTCGAAGACAGATATGACTTGTCACTGATTTCATCCAATCCATTGTAAACCCTGACTATGAGTCGAATTACCTTACATATCTTATCAATTTCTGAATTAATTTTATTTTCTTGTGTTATAAAAATAATTATTTTTTCGTTATAAAAATATCTCTCTCTACAGCAATCTATGCATTTGGTCCCCAAAATATCGCTGTAACGAGATTTCACCGCATATTGTTTTTCCTGTTATACCTCTCTTCATTTTTTCGATTTATATCAAAGATCAGATTTAGTAAAATGTAAAATACTAAGTAATAGACCCCACTTGAGATACATTATCCTTTACTTTTAATTTCTTTCATCCTTTATTTTAGAAATTAATTTTTTTTCTCTCTCGAAGTGATTATGATAGTTTTTGTTAAGTTATAAGTTAGGTATTAAACTAGAAAAATGTTAATTGCCCCTTTTTGTTTTTAATGATATCATTTCGAATTTTACAAATATTTTTAGGGTGCTTGTAAAGAACTAAACATGAAGATGTGGAGTGCTATAGTTTACACAATGGCTTGCATGACCGTTGTATATGGATATGCATGCCCCGACGAAGAAGGCGTATTCTTCCATGCTGATGTTGAATCAGGATGCCAGGTAAAGCAATTTAATTTAACTAGCTCTTAAATATTAGTTACCTTTTACTAACCTGTTTTTGACCTTTTGCAAATTTTACTTAGGAATGCCATTAATACTAGTAAATATATAGTGGAATTTTTATTTTAGCTGCTTTTTTAAATTTTTATTTACGCAATAAATTTTCCGTTATATTTTTACTTTATGCCCAACAACTGAAATTAAAATATTTATAAAAATAAGCAGTTACAAAATATATTTAAATGTTTATGGTAAATAAATCTAGATATTAAAACTATCCAAATAAATTCGTAAATTTTAATTTAAAACTTCAAACCTTGGTAATAAATTTTGAATTTTTTCCGCTCGTGGTAACCTTATATAAACATTATATTTTGTGGTTGTTTCTCCAGAATTGTTACTTTTAAATCATTATGTGTAAAAAAATTGTTTCAAAAAAATTATTGTTTCTTTTGCATTTAAAAAATGAAATTAAAAAAAGTATGAATGCTTTAAGAAAATAACGATATTTTCAGCATTTATTTCCTTTCTCTGCATATTAAATTAATTGCGACATAGAATACATGGATCTACAAATAATTAGTACTTATATAAAGTTTAATTTTAATTTTCGTTGGAAAAAAATAATATGATATTATTCTATCTCTAATAAACGAAATCGTGGATAAAAATAATTTCTTTACTTTTGTTGAAATGTTTTTTCAGAATTAATTCAAAGTTAAGAGTTTTAGCGTTTTCTAAAAAGTTAAAAAAAGTATTTTTAAATTCTTTTGATAACATATTAGTTTACTATGGTTATTAACAATTGTATATGACTTGAAATAAACATTAATGTTTAAAGGGTTTAATCAAGCTATTTTTTGATGAAACATAATTTAAATGTTCAAATTCAGAAATATGCAGAAAAGGGCTTTTAATGCAAATTTAAGCACAAATAAACAAACCTAACATATTTCTTTAATGAAACAGGAATCATTTTCTGCATTAAAAAAAAAAAATTATTTCGAATTTCCATATTTCTTGGATTATAAAATTGAAAGTAAAGTATTATATTCTAATCAATTACATAATTTATAATTTTAGAAAATTTATCTATTTTTTTTCGTTAGTTGAGACATTAAAGTTATTTCGATACATAGTTCAGGAAACATTTAAAGTAATAAATGTGTTTTCAATTTTGCTTGGCTTCATTTTAACCTTGTGCTGTACCTTAGCTTGTCCCTATATAATAATCTAAGCTAGTTTATAAACATTAATAGTATTTTTTTCAAACTGCTTAAATCCTTCTCTAACAACTTTTAATAAATATTAATCCATAAACTATACATTTAAGTTCATTTAATCGCAGCAAAAAGCGATAATTTTACTATTTGCTTAAACTTGTAGTTAATAAGTTTTGGTTATTTCCCTTCCCCCTTATCAGTTATAAAGTGCTTAAATTTTCATTGAATAGATTGTACGAAAATTTCTATTTTTTCGTGATACATATACTTTTCATTTCCTTATGCGTTGGAGTTAAGCTGTATTTTTCTATTGACATTATTTTAACTTCGCTTTAGCATGTTTGGCGTCAGGATAGAAAAACAGAAAAAACGAATAATTTTAAAATAGAAAATTTTTTCCATCACAATAATATCAATTTTAATTAATTTATTTTTTATATTTCATTTTGTTCTAAAGTTTCTGTGAGATAAAATACTTTTCCGTGAAGATTTTTATTTTTAAAATGGTTTGCTGTATTAATTTTTTCATTAATCGCAGGACTTTTCATTTATTTAATCTCATTAACAAAACAAATTAATTTAGCGACCACTAATTCTACCAAACTAGCTTTAATACAGATATAAAAAAACAGTTAATAATAATGCTGCAGATATATATTTATTTATCTTTCAAATCCCGATACAATACATTTTCAACGCACTTTTTTCAAATCGAGTGTTATAAGAAGAAATTAATCATAATTTTAATTAAAAATCTTCTAAAGATTAAAACTGAACTCGTGAGGAAAGGAAGTTATAATTACATTGTAGCATTGAAGTCTCAGCATTTCACGATTTCTGTAATTATTTTTTTAGATCTTGATTAGAAGCTAATTTCTGCTTGATGAAGGATTACTTCACAAAAGAGCAAAGCAAACTATTTAATTTACAGAATTTGGCCTTTTTGTAATTTATAGGATGCATTTCTATGTAATTATAAGATTGAAGCGTTTATTGCGAAATAATAACATCGTTTTTTTTTATTTACTCATTATTCATCAAATTGCAAAGAAGTGAAAGTAAATCTTCCATGTCTTAAATCAATTCCATGTCAAAGTAACGGCAAAAATATTTATAGAGAAGAAAAGGTTTACTTCAGTGTTGCCGTTTCGTGCTGTACGTATCAAAAATTTGATGTTATAGATAAATAATCTCGACAGAATATACACATAAACACAAATTTTCAAGTTCATTTTTATTTTAAATTTTTTTTTATTTTTAAGACACAACTGCAGGAATTATTTCGAGCAAAAAATTATCAGAATTCATAGCACATTTGTAATTGTGTTGCAAAAATGATACATAAATTAAATTTTCCTTTGCAGACTTTTCATAGATGTGAAGGAACTGAAATGACAACAATGGCCTGTCCTGCAGGGGAAGCTTTTGATTATCAATCCAATCAATGCAAAGACAAGGCTTTAGTCAGCTGCTTAGAAATCGATTCAGATCATCTTCATTGGCGCAAGCGTTCAACAGATCTTATGGTTCACTCCATCAATAGAGAGCACCTTAGGGAGGGAATGAAAAAATTATTTCGATCCGTTATTCCTCTAATTGGTAAAACAGTGAGAGACGTTGCGCCATCTGTTTATTCCCAAATTGAAACAGATTATGCTCCAATGGTCGGAAAATTCCAATCTGAGATGATGCCGTTCATCAAAGACAGAGTGCTTCCAAGAGCACAAAAAGCTTTCACTTACGCTAAAAATATGGGCGAGAGAATCTTTGAGAAAATTCACCAATCATACGAGTTGTCCAACTCCACTTACATTACTATAGTTTCCTTTTCTGATATACTATCCGATTTAGCTAGAGATTTAGAACCCTTAATGAAGCTTGGAAAGTATTTAACTGCAAAGCTTGGTCCACATGGCAGAGCAAAAAGGTCAGTTGAAACTCAGGAAGAGGAAGCAGCTCTTGATATGCTTGTAGAATTCATGGAACCTTTTTTTATTGAATTAATTCGTTCTTCTCAGGACTTTGTTGGAAATCATGTTAACGTTTCTGGTTTAGTCGCTGATTTAGCTAAGAACGGCTTGAATTTGACTAAGCTGAAAAAGTATTTAGCCGCTCAGTCACACAGGCACACAATAGCAAAACGATCTGTTGATGAAGAAGACGAAGAAGAAGTACCTGATATGCTGGTCGGAATTGTAGAACCTGTGTTCGCTAGAGTAATTGGTACAATCCAGAAAATTGCTGGTGGGGATGGGAACTCAATAACCAGCAAAATCATTCTTCCAGTTATCTATGAAATGGCAGCAGATCGTGAGACTACTTTCTACCTTAAACAGTTATTTTGGAACTTAAAGTCTGCAATTTCACCTATAATTTCTGATATGCTCAGTCAACAAGACTGGAATTCTGGTGCAGAAATCACTGTCAAAATCCCCAGGGAAGAAGTATCAGCCGCATTGTCTAGATTTCAAAATCGGGTTAAGCCACTTTTTAAGAAGATAATGCGAAGGCATTCTCAAGGAATATTTCAAAGAATGGCTGATAACGTCCCACTTCTATTCGACACATGGGACAGATTTGAGCAGACATCACCAGCACGTTTTGATATTCTGAAAGACAGTATTACTCGCTTTTTCAATAAGCACTACGATATGATTAGAACATCAAGCCCAACCCATTTTTACAGTTACGCTTTAACAGAAATATTGAGAGATTTAAGACCAATAGAAGTTACATTAGGACAATTGTTCTTGGAATATATGAAACTTACACCTAATTCTTTATATCACACTTTTTTCAGTAGGAATTCATTAATTTATAGGCTTGTTATGGGAGAAGGTGCTCCTCACTATGCTGTTCCAAGATTCTAATATTGATATTGAAACACATAGAATTTAATCTGTGATATCATTCTGTATCTCATAATTTCAAAAAGCATTTGGCAGCATTATTCAATAAAAATATTATTTTAACTTCAATTTCATTTTTTTCTAGTGAGAACTATTAACTATAGGGTTTTTATAATCTGGGTGAAAATAATAATGGGGGCGAAAATGAGGATTATACTTCTGTGTTCTTGAGACAAAAGGCACCATGTCTATTCTCTTTTATGAATGCGATTTATTAAATTTTATTCCTTTTTCTAGTGATTTACTATATTATGTGCTAAAGCCAATTTTCAAATAATGTAATTGTTCGTGTAAAAAAATCATATATATATATATGCTTTATAGTTTTCATTACTTACAAAAATACTGGTAACCCATACCATGGATTGCCAATTTTTTTTAAAGTAATGAAAAAGACCAAATCAGTGAAATCCTTAATAAATTTGCCAACTTTCTTTCAACGCTTTTCCAGGACCTAGGAATTCTGTTTTAGATATGATTAGTAAGTTCTATAATTTATCCCTTTTTGAGATTTTCTTTTAGTTTATAAGTTTTGACAACATAAAATTAATTTTTTTTTTAGATTTTAGCTAAAAGAAAAATTATTCAAAATTACGAACGTTTCAGAAAAAAAGTATTTAGCGTAGTACCAATTATGAGAAAAATAATTATGAGAAAATAATTGAAGAACATTTAATTTTTTTAGTATTGCATTTTTTTACCTAATTTACACGTCTTCTTGTTGTTCACAGCAATTGCTGAAATGTTGTCCTTAATCCATAATGAAACATATTACATCAAAATACAATTTCGTAATTAAACATTTATATAGTTTAAAAGTGTTTGGTTCCATGAAATTTGCAGCATTAATTGAGTTTATTTTTATTTTTTTATGCAAGTGTATAAATGTTTCTCACTTGTGTGTGATATAATGGAAAAATTTGTATTTATTAAATGATTCTAGCTTAGGTGATAATATATGAAAAAACTAAGTATTTAAGTAAAACTGTTAATATTAATAGTAAGATAACAGGTTTAATAACAGTGAAGAACATTTTTCTTATTTCGTTACGAGTTGCATGAGATTTTTTAACGGACCTTGAATATTTTTACTTCGATGAATTTAAATCTGTAATCAATTCATCTCCAAGTTGCAGTTATTTTTTAATGACATTTATAGTTCATTTTTTAGTCAAAGTGTGAGTTTAAAAAGTTATATATAGCAGGAACTATATAAATATTGCTACAAACTTTTGGGGGAGTTAGGGCACATCATTAGAATTGAAATTACGTATGAACTTATGTCCAGAAACGTCATCATACGCCGCTAGGGATGTTGCCCTTACTTCTCTACAAATTTGTAGCCCGATTCCCTGTTATATATAACATTCTTTTAACTTATATGTTTCGTCAAAAATTAAACTAAAAATGCCATTTTAAAAGAATCTGTAGCTTCGGGAGCAAAATTATTTTCAAATTTGTAATCTCTACACCCGAATTAGGTAATATCAAGTAATTGTTTAAATGTAACAAAATATTTGTTCTCCATTGCAATTGGTAAACATTTCAAAATCTTGGAAATTTTTATGAACAAAATACTTCCGTGCGACAAAAAAACCTACATAAGTAAAAAAAAAATTTAAATATTCGAAATCTGGATTTTTAAATTTTTAAAATTTTTTATGACATGCTACAAAATATTACTTTTTTTCAAAAATCAATTTTTTATCAGTTATCTGAAATTTTTATTGTTGAATAGGTACTATTATAACCTTTATAGCAGGTGAAAGAAAATAGCTGTCAAGCTGCTTTAAGCACTTACGTTATTTTTTTTAATTGCACGATAGAATAATCATAATAAAAAGGAACAAAATAATATTTTACTTTATTAACTTTTTATCAAAGTAAATGAAGTGATAAAAAAACATTTTTCTTTATTCTTAATCACACTCAAGCGAACCTAAATTGACTTAAGTATTTGAAAGTATCAAATCTTAAAGCTTTTTAATCCCTTCTAATGTAAGGTTTTGCCAGGTGACTTGTTTTTAACATTAAATTTCTTCTTCATTTCTGTGAAGCGAAAAGAATAAATAAATAAAAGTGTAATTTAACCAGTCAGGCACATTTTTCGTCGAAGATAGGCTCAAAAAATCTAAAGTTTTTAAGCCCCATTTTATTGATCTATGTTAAAAAAAGTTTTGATGCTTGAAAAATTTGATTTTCCAGTAGAAAAAAAATATTGATTTATTTTCACTTTCTTTGGAGTTACGTTCTCGTTGCTTCGTAACTTATCTATTTAATCACTTACAATGAATGAGCATTAATATTCTTTCCTGCCTTCTTTCGTTAAACTCTAATTTTTTGTGTGCACTAATTCTAAGATAAAACTATTTAAGATAGCCCATTTCTTTAAACTGACAATCTCTTTTTTGCTATTTAAAACAGGAAAAAAGTTAAATACGGATATTTGCACTATGTTGTACATCACAGCACTAGGGATTACACTTTTATTTACATTAACCCTTTTTGAATCAATGCGATTTTAGATATTTATATTTTTGGTAATTCAACTGAATTCTATTTCTTTAAAAACAATTAGGCAAAAAAATCGTAACATATTTGTAAATAGCAATCCAGGTTTTAATCACTCTCTTTGTAATATTTTTAATAAATAAGACGTGAAAATATGGTACATTACAAGTCAAAAAAGAAAAGAAAAAGCCTTGGAGTATCAAACTCAAAATATTGTAGGGACATTCCAGGGACAAGGGACATTCCAGGATAGAATAATAATCTGAAGTAAAATTTTAAATACTGATATTAAACAATTTTATTAAACTTCTAATTTTCTTCTTAAATGAAAAAAAAACAGATGTTTTCTTTTCTATAATTTTAAAATATACACAATTTTATCTGTCTATTCAAATAACGTTAAGAAGCAAGAAAATATTTTCCGTAAATTATATGGCATTCTTGTACGTCATACGTTTATATTGAAGAATTAATAAGGAGTAATTACACTTCTTGTCTTGCTTAAAACTGGGTCCAACAGTAACTGAGTTTATACAAAAATGCAGGATATTAAGCAATGTTATTAAACATCTAATTTCACGTTCAAATGAAAAACTTCATAACTTCGATAGCGGTAAAGACGTTTCGAATTAAAATAGCTATATATATATATATATATATATCACTATTACATGTCATTTAATTTGTAGTTTGCCCTCCTTGTCTGGGTTAAGCTAGATATAACAGCTAGTAATTAAATAGAAAAATGCAATATTAAAACAAAATCAAGAGTAAAATTTTAAATATTGTTATTGAAACAATGATATTAAACAACTTTTTACTTAAATGAAAAACAAATGAATGTTTTCTTTTCTAAAGTTTTCAAGTGTACACAGTTTTATCAGCATGCTCAAAAAGCGTATATAAGATTAAATACTATCACTGAACAAATAATTTAAGTTATCTAAGGGAACAACTTTTATCACAACGAAAGATTCATGGCTTTTATCCTTGTCTGGCTTGTCACTATTGACCTGGCTACTGGAAGATAAATTTTGGAACATTTTCTCTGGTTTATTTAATCTATGTTAACTTCTATAAAGAGTCATAGCTTTGAAATGTATTTTCGCTCAGAAAATATTACATATATTGCTTGTTATCTTTAAATACTACTCAAAAAGCATGCAAAATAATTACAGTTAACTAATTTTCTTCCATTCATGAATAAACGCTGTTAAAAAGCAGTTGTTGGGTTTCAAAGAAATCAACCAGATTGAAATAGTTGATTATTTTTTTATTTCGTTGAAATTTTGCAGGATAAGTACTTAATACAAAACTGTTAGATTGAGTCTTTTTTTGTACAAAGAATTTTTCTCAATAATTTTTTTAAGAAAAACATATTGTTTTATAAGTAAATGTTAATATTTTTTGAGCCCAAAATGAACTATAATATTCATTCTTTTTTTTCTCTTTTCTTCTACATTAACTATTATGACATAAAATACATATGATTGAATTTGGCATTAAAATCTTTGACGTAAGACTTTTCCTTAAAATTTAACCATAAAAATCTATTATTTAATGTTTCTATTCGAAAGTACAATTATTACCATGTTATTATGTTATACATCAATCATACGCTACTTAGTGAGGTCACTTAGTCACTGAGTAAGGTTCTTATTCATAAAACCAAAACTATAGCCTGTTGATTTCTGTACTTGTATTGGGGCTTTAATCACATTATTTCCCCATTAATTTAATTCTACATGGAACAAAGTATACCCTATTCTCTTTTCTATAGATTTAGTTCTTTATTCTATTCGAACAAAATTTAAGCCAAATCATTTTGTTTAGTAATACCAATTCAATTTAACGTAAAATTTGGTTTAAATTCCAACTTGAATATAAATTTCTTCAGAACTCGTTAATTTTTTTACGCCGTAACTTAAATTTAGTATTATTACGAAGTTAACTCCTAATAGTGTTTTACACTTTTGGTTTCATTACTTTAATTGGATATGCTAAGTGGATGCAGTTTCAGACAAAGCTTTTCATCGATGTGAAGTTAAGTTGTTGAACGTTTAAGATTAGGCACTAATTTAAAAATTTTTATGATAAAATGTTGTATTATAAGAGTATCTCTTTATAATTTATAGCTTTAGTTTTAGGCCTAATTTATCATATTAAACAAAAATAATAACATAATAATAAGCAAAAAATAATACCACCATAATAGTAGGGAGAACTAAAAAAAAGATATTAAATAAGTGTTAGAGGCAAATTTTTCCTGATTGGGTACTTTCAACTCGAGAAGAGGTGAAATGATTATGCCTAATCAAGTGATTCAAATCAAATTTAATAGGATACCTATAAGCAATGTGATGCGTGCTTGTTGAACATGATTGGTGCAGAATCGGCAAATGCCGTGATTTACATATGATATATGATGATGTCACTTGCTGGCATTCAGTTACGGTTAAGGAATTATTTTGCTTGTGTACAATAGATTTATGATGTTTATTAATTTTATGCCTATGAAAGCCAACTAAATCCAAAAATTGGATCATACCCAGTAAAGTTCAAGTAAGGGCCAACAATAACAATGGCAAATAGTTTTTTGGGATTACTTTTTTATGTTATGTTTATTATTAGTTTTTTTTTTCTTGTTTTGGTTTCACGAAAAATACTTACTGGTATTTGTCAAGCAGCATTGGAAACAACAATAACACTTTTTTTTATGTTTAATAGAGATGTGAATTCTCGTTATTCGAGGCAAGTGAGGCATTGTTGCTGTAAACGGAAAGATATAAATTCAGCCCCTGTTATTAAACATTTTAGAATAAACTTCTATAGATTATTTCAATTATAAAAGCACTGAGCCGACATGGTTCAGGGAATAGAGAGTTCTCCTTCCAATGAGGGGAACCGGGTTTGAATCCCAGCGATGGCTGATTGATACGAATTCCGCATTCGGCTTGCACCAACTACAGGGTTGACGAGAAATATCCTCAGTGGCAGACAGATCATGGATTAGAGTCTTCTTGCCGTCAAGGTAACCGTGGGCGGTTTTCGTGGTTTTCCTCTCCATGTAACGCAAATGCGGGTTAGTTCCATCAAAAAGTCCACTCGAAGGCACATTTCTCCCAATATTTATCCAGGTGTTTCCTTGTCTTCAGAAATAGGTTTAATATACATGACTACGTAGTTGAACATTAGCGGTTGTAAACCCAAAAAAATTGAGGCGGCTGTTCAACGACTGTTATAAAATATAAATTTACCTCCAATCAGTTATCTCAAACTTGTAACATGTTTTGAACTAAAATATTTATATATATTGTCAGTACTAATTTATGCAGTAAATATTGTTAAGCAATTATTATTTTAAGTGTATCAATATCATTAATCTGACTGAAACCTAACTGAAATAGCGTTAAGTCACTTCAAAAGTAGCTTATAACTTTGATCATAATATTTCTGTATTAAGTGATGCACAGCATTAACATCCATCATAAATTTTAGAAAGAGTTGGTATAATTGAGAACGCTAAGTTCAAATACGTCCTTCCATATAGCACTTTCAAAATATCTTTGTGAAGCTAATTCCAGAAAATATTAGTCTGAGTACTATCAATATTAGACAAAATTCTTCGAGAAATATTTCAAACATTTCTTGTATTTTAATTTCAAGTTATTTATTGCAGTTTCGCTAGAGCAAAGAGAGAACATTCTTCGAAGATGCCATTTAACTTTGAGAATGTCGAAATCTTTGCTTACTCCAGAAATATTTCAAAACACGTGATGGTATGAGCTTTTAATAGAAATCTCGAGAGCTGTTTTTCGACCCATAACAAATTACTTTAATGGAAATTTTCGAAACGAATGGTTGTATGATGCTAAAAGCTATCATCAATCCCAAAAGCAATCGGATGCATTTTGAGTTCTACTTTTTTTCTTTCCTTTTCCATATCTCCATGAAACACAGAAGGGATTCACTATTTTTCGTTGTGAAGAAGATTTAGGGAATGATTATGTATATCGTTAAAAGTTTGGCAATAAATATATCAGTAATCTCAAGAAAAACCCAAAAACACCATTTCGTTAGAACTTTCTTTATCTATAATCCTAAGTAAGCAAAGTGCTTCTGAGCTAACACTGGTTGATAAATAACATAATAAATAGCATAGTTTTGTTTACATTTTCTCAGTCGGATGAATATCATTTACGAAATATTTCTAAGTAAGTAATATTATTAATTTATATTTCTCTAAGGGATTNAGAGAGATAGATAGATAGATAGATAGATAGATAGATATACAATCGACACATATAAAGAATAATTTTTATCTTAGGAAAATTATTCTTTATTCAGAAATATCGCATTAAATTATTCCAATAGATGTGTCCTATTGGATTTTCCCATTTCTAGTTTTCTCTTTATATTATTTAATTATATTATTTGTATCTTTGTATGCGTGTGCTGTAGTATTACAACAGTTCTCAAAAGGTTTTCCGTGGAACCTTAGGGTTCCGAATGACAGGGGTTTCAAGATTTAATATATTTTTAACCAAGAATACTAATATTGATATCCAATCAATTATACATAATTTATTTAGTATTTTGCTTGTTCATAAGTACTTTATGTAAAATACGAATGAAAAAAGTAGCAAAACACTAACAAAACACAACTTTGTTTAGTACATTCACAGCTGCTGACGTACTTTTTTTAATAATGTCGAGGATTCCACCGAAACAAACTCGATCATTTAAGGTTCCCTAGCTGAAAAAATTGGGAACCACTGAAAAATTATATACTGTGGTTGGACAAAATAACACTATATAGTGGTTGAACACTTTTATACCAACACAATTATTATCATTAAAAAAAATATTAAGATAACCATTTTATAAATTTAGAAGTGCATATCGCGATTTATTATATTTATCAAGGATGTTTAAAGCTTTTAGAGATCTGAGTTACCGACAGTAATTACATAATCGAAAATAGTATTTTTAAACACACTATACCAAAAACTGTAGCAATAAACTTGTAACATTTATTTTGGTCATTATATGTACTAACTGCATACCCTCCAACTGCTACGGAATTTCCGTAGTTTCAGAAATCTTCTTTTCAGACGGTAGCAAAATTAATGTCTTAATATTTAAAAAAAATTAATTTTAGCGTAACTTGTCCACTATTACTTATAAAAGTACAGGCCATATGGCTAGATTCTTAAGTTCTGATAAAAGTTTTATGAGAGATCCATTTGCTTTAAAAATTTCTACTTTGGTTCGCTACAATTAGAAAGAATTATTTTCAAAATCCTCATAAGTTGGAGGGTATGTAACTGCACAAAAACTTGTACACTTAGCTTAAATATTCGTATTTATGGAGATGCGAAGTTTAAAAAAAATAATAAAATTATTTTTGTCTTATGGTTTTTTGCTAGTACTTTAATCATGTTCAATAAAATTAAACAAATTTCGGAGCAGTTTGAATTTAATTACAAAATTTTGGCTCCAAGACTTGAGAACAATTTGTTTAAAATTTCGGAAGATATGAGTAATTAAAGTAGTTCTTTTATATTGCCCATGCGAGGGATAAAGTTTTTTTTTCTTCTTAATTTCGTAGTAAATTGCATTTGGCAACTATTAAAAAAAACGATTTAAATGTTTTAAAAATTTAAAAAGTTTCCCGCCATTTTCTAAGTAGTTTTCGTGCTATTTAAAAGAAAGCTAAAATGATAAAAGGCTCTCCACAATTTTTATTTTGCACTATTAAACAGGATTTATTAAAAATGACACCGGCATTGTTGGGGATAATTCCCCATAAAAGTATTTTTTTTTTTTGCTTGTTATCTTTCCTTTTGCAATTATATTTTGGTGCATAAATGTTTACTGTAAGGTACACATTATTTGTTATTTAATTTTCTCAGATGATACAAAATAGTATTTGTAAAAAAAAAACTTATAAATTTCTCTTAAAATGTAAAAAACAAACTACTTATAAAATTATTTACTTGGAACTCTTTAAAATCTTAAGATATTCAAATCGGACTTCTTTCATTAATTACCAAACACGATGCACTACAAAGATGTGAAGAAAAAAATTTTCCGCACATGCGCTGTACATAAAATTTTTTTTCTTTAATTACTTATAAATAGCGCAGTTTTCAACAAAAAAAAATTTCAAATTTTAACGCAAAAATCTTGTAATTAATTTTAAACTGTTCTAAAAATTTGTTTGATTTTATTGAATAATTTTTAATTTATACAAGAAAAATGCAAGACAAAAAATCAGTTTATTAAACAAATTTCCATTTCTCCATAAATATTTAAACTAAGTTTTCGAAATTTTGTGTAAACATTACACATTTATAACCAAAGTAATTGTTACAAGTTACAAATTTATTACTATACTCTTTGGTAAAAGGTTTTCAAAAACATTATTTTTCCTTTTGTAATTTACTGTCGGTCTCTCAAACTCTTAAAAGGCTTTAAACCTCATTGAAACTCTCAACTCACACTCTTCATTGAAACTCATTCTCAAACTCTTTAAACTTCATTCAAGAAATCGCCTTATTTAAACACTTCTAAAGGTTATGAAATAATTTTTTAAGTAATACTTGAGAAATATGAAAAAAATGTATTAGCATAGAAGTGTTTGTATTACTTTGTCCATCCCCTGCATTTTCCTTATATATCTTATATGTTATGCATACTGGCATTTGTCTCTCGAATAGAGAAGGAAAACAATTTGTCTTCAGAAATTGGAAAAACATATACCACTGTTTCGATTGATGATAAAATTTAATTTATAGGATATAAATGTTATTATTTATTGTCAACACAATTTTCGTCATTTTTTTTTCAATTGATAATGAATTTTTGATAAATGTTACCTATTTCCTATACAATTCAAATTTTTAAGCAAGTCTCCGTATAAAATTATCTTCCAATACTATTTAAAACAAAATTAAAAACCCCATTTTAATCTAAACAAAAAATTTTATGCGCACATTTATTTTATAAAATAAAAAGTACGTATCGAGTAGTAATAAAAAATATTAACAAATCATAATTAAAATAATTAAAAAATAACGTAAAGATAATCAATGAAAATGATAATCAATATGAAATGCGGGAAATTAAGTAAAATTATTACAATACGCAACTCTTAATAATGAGAACACGTTACTTTGATGTTAATGAGAGCCTATGCCTGTTTAGGCAGAGGGGGTGCGATTGTTCTTGTTTTTCAGTGGCGCCATCTATGGCCAAGAATTCGACTTCTGCCACACCATTCACACAACCACAATCCTGTTTAGAGGGCTGGTCACATTCACACACACAAAGGAGAAAGGACATAGAACACACACAGAGAGAAAGAAACATCCATGCCTTGCCCGGGATCCGAACCCAGGACCTTTCTGATGCAAGGACAGTTCCCTGCCTCCTACACAGCCGGTCGGCGATAGAAATTTATAACTGTAGACTTGGAAATGCAAGAGAAAAAAGAACATCGCTGGTTTAGATTTATCATATCCGGTTATGTGCGCTTTCATGAAACATTGACATCAGTTGTTCTTGTAGAAGCCAGAAATAAGAAATGGATCGTCACAACATTTATCATATCATGTAAACAAAGTAAATACATAGTTACCAAGTTATATTTAATATATAAATCTATTCTAAACAGTTAGCGCATATTTCGAAATTTAGAAATTTAAAGTCATTAAGAAGTTGTTACCGTTGAAGACGTTGTTGGTTACATATTTAACAAAACATATTTTATTCAAATTGAAAGATATTAAGTTAATCTGGAAGTTTTTAAAAAAAAATTTTTTTAATATTAAAAAAGACTAATTTCAATTTTTTTAAGCTTAAATATAAAACAGATTTTAGATTTTGAAAATAAAAGGTTTTAATTTATAGCGTTAAATAAAAGCAGAAAAATATTATATATAAAATGAAAATATACGTATTTTAAAATCTTCATTAAAGATTAAATTTTTATTATCAAATAACCGTGCTTCCGAATTTCAAACCAATATTTAAGTGCAACTATTATGTAAATTCAGAGTTTAATAAAGGTTTTTGTATAGATTACGGGGACTTAAAAACTGCATTAGATAAATATATACATATTAACTGTAATTTGAAAATATTTTTTTAAATTTTAATCTTGCAAACTAAGAATTATTTTTTATTTTTGCTATAAGGAAATTGAAATTTAAAGTTTGGATAAAAAAAAGAATACATTTGAAGACTATTCAGAGATAACTAAATATTTTGTCACTTTGACTGAATAAGTGTTTTTTTTTCTAATAATGTGATCACAATGAGGGATAATTTTTATCAACTTGAAATTTCAAATTTCGAGATTTTTCGTACTTAATTTTGCTAATTTTCTCTTGATTTACTCTGACATTCGAAGCAATATTTAGAAGAACTATAAGCGGATTTATTCTTCATTAGGTTTTTTAATGATAGAAATACAACTGAAAAAGAAACAGATGCTTTCATTGGTTTAATTGTTATAATGCGGTTACGAGTCATTAACAACTGAGGCAAGAAATTCTTTCACACATACAATTGCGTATTGAGGAAATAGGTAAGGAATTTTCCTTTCGTTTTTCTTTTTATAGAAAGATTCTAACATTAGCAAAACACAGTTCTAATACGCAATACAGTAATAACCAATTTTATCTAATACTTTTCATAAGAATACTGAAAATATTATGTTGATTTGATGCTAAATACAATCTTATTATTGATCCAATTTGTACGCTACATAAAGTATTAGTCTACAAATATTTATAAAAAAATAACGTGCTGACAAGCTTGAAAATTTACTACAATCAGAAATAAAAAATAACTCTTTTAGATGCGTCTTAAACATTCTTTTATATTTTCATTGAAACTATTGCGCATTTGATTGATAAAAAAAATAACATTCCTTGAAGATGTCATTTAACTTTACGAATATCGGAATCATCGTTTACCCTGGAAGCAAATAATGTAATCGCTTATTTTAAAATTTAAACATAAATAAACTACTTTAAAAATTTTCTTAATATTTCTTGCATTTCAGTTGAAATTATTTAGTGCATAGTTGTTAAAGTAATGAAAATACTACATTACTTCGAGACAACGTGATTACTTGCTTCGACATTCAAATATAAGCAAACTGATTTGAAACCAGGAACCTTGTATAAATAATGTCCTCCCAAATCTTTTAAATGAGCCAAGTTGTCAAAGCGGTAAAGGAACTGAGATGCCATTATGTAGAATCAGGGTTCAATCCCCGGTGATAGCTTGAAGTCCATCTACCCTCATATTGGCAGCACCAAATTGTTAGGATAGTAAATGTGGTAAGTAATATAAAAACCATTATCATGCTCTTGGTTTTGATATTACAGAGTCTTAACATGCATGCGGTCCTTGGCCTACAGCTGGCTGCTGCATTAGGGCTGCTTTTTCTTAAAACAAACCTTTAAATACTGAGAGTTTAAATGAGAATTGCAGCAGTTTAAACTCATTCAATTCTACTTTTCCATGTATAAAATGAAATATAATTTTTATTGAATAAAATGAAATTCAGAGCGCATTATTGATCTTTTTTTCTTTGTATACTTAAAAGCACTAAAAAGTTTGCAATTACTATTCCCTAAAGAATCTTTATTTTTAAACTTAAACTCGTTCTCTAATTATTTTTTTCTAAAACTATGCTATGATATAAATTTCATTCATTTGGTTGCATAACGCAAAATCTTAATTTATTTTAAATAGATGCTTGTTTTTTGAGGATGATACTTTTGATGATTATGTCGTTTGTCTGCAGTCAAGCTGTATATTGCTACAAGTGCCCGAAAGGAGGTCCAAACTTTTATTACGTTGACATTATAACAGGATGCCAGGTAACAAATATACTTGCATACTATCCATTTCTAATTTAAAATATAAAAATAATGCTTTTAAATTATTTAGTATTATTTTACTAGAAAATCTTTTATCTACTCTTTATTAAATACTGAATGCTTTTAAGCTGAAACAAATTGGAAATCGTTAAATTTAATAATGCTTTTAACATGGCACTATGGCGTTAGCCTGGGTAAGGAATTTTAAATTATGCCTCAGTGTCAATTAATTTTTGAACATAAAATATTCAATTTATTTTCTACTGATGTAGGCTTAAGTATTTTTGCTTTGTGATAAGAGGCTGGGACAGCCTGACTGTTAAGGCGTTGGGCCCATGTCCGAAAGGTCAAGAGTTCGATCCAAGCCATTTTGCAAAGCCAATGTTTTATTTTCAGTTATTAGGAAGTGCCATGAGAAAAGAGAGGTAGTATATTTATAATTAAATTAATTGAGTATTTTCCTATACTAGCTACTATCTTAAATTTTAAACGAATCATAATTGCGTGAGTATTCTTCACATTTAAATTACGTGAGTATATTTCAATGGATATTTCCCAATTGAATGATTATACTTCAGACAAGTTAAATCCAAGTATTTAAAGAAAAAAAAAGATATAACTCTTTTCAGATTTGGCTATTATATGCTAACGAGTAAAACTGTCAATAAATTCACACAAAAGGGTTCAAGTTAACAGAAATTTTATAAAAAAAATGTATTTAGCAAATTTATGTCCAACTTTTTTCAAATTCTTTCTCTTTTTTATCTTTGTTTTATCAAATATAACTCTGGAATGTAACGTTGGTGTTACAAGGAAGTTCTGTTGAAAACAGATAATCACTAATCCTACATGGAAATTACCGATCTGCTCCATGCTTAAAAGGAAAGCTTAAAACTTCTAAGAAATTTCTTTATTACCGTATTGCTGTAATTTATACTTAAATTCAAAAGGGCCTTTGTTCAGCAAATTTTCAAAAGCTGAGCTCTACAATTTCATTTTATCGGATTTATTAAGAAAAGATTTGGCAGCCTTTTGAAAAAATAAGGTTATGATGTAATATGGAGTTAACCCAATTGACTTAAAAGAGTTTTTACAGATTTTTTTTATGATAAAAAATTAAGTAAAATAATTATTTTTGGGTGTTGGTTACTAGTTATAGATAAAGTCACCATGTTTAGTTCGAAATAGAAGTGGCTCTTATCTCGTTATCGGATGCCGATTAAATTTGGTTTATTTGCTTTTTTAAACTCCTAGCCACCTCTGGCGACCAACTGCTCCACCTTTCTAAATAAGTTGAAATTCTAGTATTTCGAGATTGAAAATCGTACTGTCAAAAATCAAGGCAATGTAAAATAATAATGATAAACTCATGTTGCTCATGTGAGAGGGGATTTAGTTTTTGTCTTTTAGATGTGCGTATGAAATCGAGAATTTGTTATTAAAATGTTTAGTACAACATATTCCAACATTAAAAAAGCATATATGCTAATTATCACAACCGTTGATAGATAATATGCAATATTGTCAAGTATTTGCTATTATTAATTATGCCAGCCAATTAATTTCATCTATGAACTGTTTTTTTCTTCCAAATCATAATTAACTTTAACTGTTATAAATTTATTTAAGCAAAAAAAGTACACAGATCCAAAAATCTGAAAAAATAGTTTTAAAGCAAAAATTCTTTTTAGTATCAATAACCTATAAGTGTTAATTTCTTTTATTAATTTAATTTAAATTCTTTAATTTCTTTATTAATTTAATTTAAAGGATAATATTATAAAGTATGAGAATTTAAAATTAGGGATCAAAAAATATGTAAACGATTAATTAATATAATAATTGATATTAAAATGTTTGAGTATTAGAACTTAACAAAATTAAAAGCCTTGAAATTTAACGTATTTATGTTTAACATTACTATTGACAGTGAAATATAATATTTCTTTAATATTTGATAACTTTTTAGCTAGCATATTTATTTTCAGGTCGCTTTACTCATGCACTTAAACAATGAGTTTATCGAACATTGAAGACATTAATTTTTTTCTAGTGAATTTGTCCTACGTTTTTAGATATTTTCTAAAAACGTTGTTTTCATGACAGAGCACGTTTTAATATATAACAATGATTTTAAGCAACGGAATTTGATAGAAAAGCCCAAATGCTCAAATGCCTGTGGCCAAATAACATACCAAAAAGAGGTGCCTCAAATTACATAATGCCACTACCTCTTGAAAATTTGCAAACTGATGAAAAAACACAATCGAAATCAGACCTTCCATTTTCATGGATGCTTCCGAACATACATCCAGACAGGCTTTTGTTTATACATACCTATCTATGCCCGTCGTGCCAGCTGGTACGTAAGGCCTCAAGTCTCTTTTCCCAGACACCCCTGTCCTCCGGCTGTCCTCTTGCCTATTCCCATCCATTTTATTTATTTATTAATTGTTTTTTTCGCTTTGCTCAGATTTTGGTGCATGCATCTTTGTCAAGTAAGTTGGGCCTTTCTCTTTTAAGTGTTCAACCGGGTGCCCAAGTAAGGGTGATTCTGGCAGGGCTTAGCTTAACGGACATGTTCAATTCATATATAGAGAGAGATAAACAAAATTATATTTATTCTCTTTTTTAAAAATATAAAGTTACTTAACTATGGGTTAGAGTAACTCGCAGTTACGTACACGATGAAAGGAAATTTTGAACTCTAACCTAGAGTTGCTCTCATAAATCCTGTTTTGAACTCTGACCAAGGGTTAGGATCAATGGGGAATACGGGCGTTTAGTGAGCCAAGCGAGCAGGAGGCTTGATCAAAGAATATATAATGTGAGAAGAAGTCCAGCTTCTCCGATACGTAACAGGCGCCAGCAAGGTCCCTCTGTATGACAAGGAAAGAGCCAAAGGTTTTTGAGCCGGCGCATGAGCGCATCTTTCAGCCACCATATAGCTTCTCTAAACTTGTTTAACAACAAATTTTTCGCCATCTTTAAAGTGACAACTTTAAGTGACCGATATCTATTTGAATTATACAAAATAATAAATTATATATATTTTTTAATGAATTCGTCTCAAGTAAATATTTTCATTGTTTATGTTTAATAAGTAAACCTTTTTTCAGAACTATATAAGTCTGTAAAGAATAAGCTGTTTACATGATTGGGGGGAGACAAGGTCCACAGGTTTACATGGGGGCCTATGAGAGCTGATATTCTTCTCACTTATATATTCTATGGCTTGACTTCCTAGCATTTTTAAATTGTTAATAAATTAATGAATCCAAAAAAAGTACAAATCAATTGAGTGGGAAAATTAATTTAACCAATAAGTTTATTCATAATTCAGTCCATCAGTTTTATTTTCTTTCCTTTATGTTTTTCCAAACATAACTGTGAGAAACTATGTTTTGAGCATAAAAGAATATCTGTGGAAAACAGATAACCGCTAAAACCAAAATAGAAAGTACCTTCAAAGACATTCCGTACTTCAAAGGTGACATGTCCTAACGATGATCCGCCCACTCGTGTGTGTAAATGACAGTGAGCGAAGGTAAGAACTTATTCAATTGGCGGAATGGAATGGTACGATCAGGCGTTTGTTGCTTTGTATTAGATTTATGCAACAGCCCGATAACTTCAATTGGCATTTGTAGTATAAATAAGTAATAGGATTATGTTAGGTAATGGAAAAGATTCGAGTATTAGAATATATTTACTTACAACTTTCTATATGTAATAGAAATATTACAATTGTTTTGTTTATTGTTTTTCTCACTTAATGATTGCTTAGTTAATGTTATAACCGTGAAAAACTTAGCAATAAAAATCTGCTTTTTTTTTCCTTTTTAATTATGGATTTTCAATTCAACAAGAGAAAAAAAATAGTAGAAGTTTAAAAAGCACCACATTAAACAATATTATTATTATTATTAATATTAACATTATTAATAAAGATAATATTAATAATAATAACAACAGAATTAAAATGCTGATACATATTGCAAATATATCTGGATACACGTGTTTTAATTTGAACACATTTTTGATATTTTTTCTTAAACTACTGAAATGATTTACTTTTAGCAAGGGTTTACTTTGAGACTGATCGAATTTGCTATTCAACCAGTATATATCCTTTCAAGAAATAATGCCAAAGTTTAAAAAGCACTACATTAAACAATAATTATAATAATTATTATTATTAAAAATAAAAATTATAATAATTGAGTCAAAATGCAAACGTACATTGGAAATATATCTAGGTGCACGAATTTTGATTTGAACACTCTTTTGATAATTTTCTTAAACTGCCGAAATGATTTACTTTTTTCACTTGTTTACTTTGAGAATGATCGAATTTATTATTCAACCAGTATATATCCTTTTAAAAAATAGTAAATACATATTAACGTAAACCTTTTCGAACAAAATATTTTTTAAAGGAATTTTGTAATTGTTTTTTTAAAACTATTTTTGTGTGTTTAACTTGAAGAGTAAGTAGAATGTGAGAAAAACATTAGGGGCCAAGATTCGTACAATCCTTACCCAAATAAAGCCTGTAATTACTGTGGACATGAGCTAGATTGTGAATACAAATTTTACTAGATACCATGTCCAACGTTAGTTCAGTTTGATAGGACACTAAATTTATTACTGCTTGAAACTGCTACTCACAATACTCAACTATTCAGTAAGTTATTTAACCAAAACAAAAACGCATATTTTTTGGTATTAAATTTTTATATGGATTTCAAATTCTAGTTTTGACCAGGAGAAAAATATTGAATAACCTATTTTTTTTAAATTTTGGGCAATTTTTTCTCCATTCAGACCACAGTGTGTCGAAAGTTTGCAAATTTCAATCTGCCTACGACCTGTCCATTTCATACCACGGAAAAGAGAAAAAAAGATTTTAAGCTATAACTAATTCAAGATAAATTAACAGTTAATATGAGAAAACAAAAATTATTCTCTTCAAATGCGAGTTAAGAAAATTTATTTAATGGTAAATAGTTACAACTATTCATTCTAACATAAGCAGTCACATACTTGAAACACATTCTTGATTTATCAGAACATGACAACCATTCTGACTACCATTGTATTCTGCAAAAGATATAGGGACACTGAAATGGAGTTAAGTGACGCAATTCTTAAAAAAGGGGAATAAACAATTGCGGTATAAGTTTGTGAATTATTATCATCTCCATTCTTGGAGAAAGAACGAATGTGGAACTAATAGCAACTGATATTTCAGCTGAACCTTCGAAGTAACTTCCCCAGTAGCTGACATCACATACTCTTTACACTTAATTCTATTACAGCACTATTTGGTAAAATCATTTTTATACAAAAATGAATTTTTTGTCTTTTAACTTTTTGTTAATATCATACTCTCAACTACTATACTTAAATGCACTTAGATTAAACGCTTTTAGATAATAGTTTTCACACATCTGGATATTACGGTCACTCTGTTGCATGTATTTACGAATTCTTCAGAAAGTAATCTGCTTTTTTTCTTTTTAGGTCTATTACCACTGCTCAAATGGCGAAATGACACGGTTCTCCTGTCCAAACGGCCAAGCATTTGATGTTCTCTCAAATTTATGTAAGAACCACCACTCATTTCAATGCATAGAATTCGGTCCTTCCAGACAGAAACGGTCTGCTAAAACGATTGCTTCTTCAAATACCGCTAAACATCAGACACAAGTTAAAGCACTTTCAGAAGAAAATGCAAATATCTCTGCACCTTCAAGCGGATTAGAAAAAGAATCAAAATACATACAGATTTTAAATAGGACGAAAGATGATATGATAGAACTGTTTAAAGACGCAGTTACTCCTCATGTTAAAGAGTCATATTTAAAAGTCAAATCACTCAGTGAAACAATCAACAAAATGCCTGCAACTTGGCAAAAGATTTACAATTCAAATTTTAGTTTGGCTACTTTCTTTAGCGTTACCCAAAATATTACCCCAAACCTTAATACCTTTATTAACTTTAGTAGTTTTCTTCCTACAAAAGAATCAGTTCAAGTAAAATCTAAAAGAAGCGTTAATCAACTGCATTTAGATAATTTACAAGATATTATAGAGACTTATATTGATCCATTTATATCTCTGGCTTCCACATTTCTAAATGAATTGCTTTTTGATAATAAAGAAACTCTTACAAGAAAATTTATTTTACCGGTGATAAACAATGTGCTGAACGATGAAGAAACACAATTTGATTTGCACCGTATTCACTGGATTGTTAAAGCAACTTTCGCTCCTATTATAGCAGACATATATGAGCAACAAACTTGGAATTCTCCTCCAGGGACTGTTATTCGGATACCTAAGAGTCATATTTTTTCTGCTTGGAATACAATTGAAATTAAGGCTCTTCCTATTGTGCATAAAATTATCGAAAAACATTCATCAATGGTCTTTGATCGAATCTATGATAACTGGATATTCATATATGATGCTCTATACAGCTTCAGTTCTAGTAAAAGCCAACTCAAAGTATTAATGGACACTATTCAACGATTTCTTGATAAGCATATTGCTGTGATACAGACATCAGATGCTAAATATTTCCATGCATTTACTCTGGAAGAAGCATGGCAGGATTTAAAACCATCGATTGTCAATTTGTTGCAAATATTACTACAGCGTAATCCTCAACTTCATAAAAATTGGATTAACATATTCTTTAATAAGAACTCATACTTTTACAAAGTAATATTTGGGTATTGAGGGTTAACCGTGAGAATCTAAAAGCAGGTGGCGATAGTGGTGAGGGAAAAAAAAGGAACAAGAATGCTGCCATGTTTTTGTTTCTGATTATGTCTTCTCTCCGAAAGCTATAGTTCACTCCAGCTATAAGAATTTAAAGAGTTGCATTAATTTAATGCAGAATAGTTCCTTTAAAGAAAATTATTTTTCTGATGCTTTTCGATTTTTAGAATAATATTAAAGAAAAAACAAAATAATATCAAAAAGAGCTAATGCTCACACAAGTAATAAGCCAATGCAAGTGATAACACTGAAAGTATTAATTTTATGTATGAATTGTCTCTAATATTATTTTTTAAAATTCTTTTAAAAACACAAAAACTTTTTTCCAAGAACACTCGAACAGTTATTTTATACAAATTTTTTACTACTTAGTGTAATGTGCTTGTTAAAATTGAAGGCAAAGAGAAAAGACTTACAGCGAAAAGAATTAGGTATAATCTGTGTCTCAGATCAAAAAAGGACATCAATTATTTTAAGGAAAGCAGTAAGGCTCACAATAGGCTCATTGCCTGACGTTATTCTTTTATTTTTCATTTATTTTTATTTTTTATATTTTATTTATTCATTTATTTATTAAAATTTTGTGACAATTTAAATACTTGTCATATTATTAAAATTATGTTATTCCTTTTTAATAGATACTGAGTGCCAGCATTATGCATAGCCCATTTTTTTTAAATCTTATTTTATCACAGGATTTTGATTAAATCCTTATTGATCGAATGGTATACCTGGATGCATCTTTGAGCTGTCAACCCATTCTTTAACTTACTAGGATATTATGAGCCATTTTTGTATTCAGCACAGAAGCTTGTACATATAGGTGTAATAATAAATAAAAATAAGAAAGCATTCCCACAACAGCCCAATGTGCGCCATGTGGGTCGTATTAAAGTTCCCCAAGTACATGCTCAACGGCATGATAATAACAAGTGCGGTCGGCATTGTGCACGGATAAACTAAAATAAATATTTTAATTGGGGCCTCTCTATTGTCTGTCTGTAGAAAGAACTCCCCTCGCCATTCATCTGCAAAAGTGGTGGTGACTATGTTTACGAGGTTTAGCTATTTCAATAAGGGTATTGGGTCACTAAAGGCGCGTTTTTGCTCGATTCGGCAAGGAATGAGGAATTTGGGTAGGAAAAGAGAGAGAAGCCCCCCTCTTTGAAATACACTATTTCTTGTTTCCGTGACAGCAGGTGGTTTTAGACTTTGTAGCGAGGGGAGTTTGTTCTATAAACAAACTGTATCTAAGTTGTTTCACCTTTTCTCTAAAATTTTTGTAGTAGGGTTAAGAAAATGGGTTTTCACCGTAACTGTTGGTGTATCTCAGCGCTATCCTACTTTAAATTTTTTTTTCTATTTTTCCAATTAAAAGCTTTATATCTTCTAATTAAATAATAAGCCAATCTAGGCAGTGATCACACAAGTCTTTATTTGGTTGTGTAACAATAAATTAAAAGAAGCATTTTTTTTGTGTAGCATTTAGCTCTTGTAATTAATTAATATTTATTTATAGATAGAAAATTAATAAAATTGAAACACATCCTGCCATCTATTGAGCATAGCATACATTAGAATGCACAAGGATTTCAGCTCTAGCACTCTTTCATAATAAGAAATTATTGTATTCTGGCACAATTTTCATCTTGACAACGTTCAACAATAAAGAATTTTCACTTTTGTTCAGATTTTAGGCAATGACTCACCCCTACTTGAAATATACTAATCTTGTTGCCATAACTTTCGCCATCCACCAGGCACAGTGACGGTGGTTGTTCAGAGAGACAGACAGTTCTTACTTTTCTCATTCTGTCTCATAATTTTCAACATTCCCCGGTATGTTGCGAAGTTGTTAATGTGTACATATATGTGTGTGCTTGGTACAGTCTTGTCTCATATTGCTATCGGCCATTCTGAAAAGTCGATTTATTGTTTAATTAATTTTGATATTTTACTAATGCACTATTTAATACTAATAATTAATATTTATATGCCACTTCTATTAATACATCAGTTATACATTGTATTTTATGTAAATATACGCTTTTTTAAACATACTATTTGATGTTCATTCTTTCTCAACCATGTCAAATTGTAAGATATGAAAATTCAATGAAGAAAACGAAACATTTGATGCAGAGCTGATTTCTTTACTTCTCTGATAGATAAAATAGTATGTTTATTGTTCAACATAGTTTTGAGTACTATTGATCAATAATTGACTTATACTGTACTACTACTATTGTTAACACCATTTGACTCATAAAGAAAATAAATATTTCAATTAAAAGGTGAAACTCGACAAGATATATTTATTGAAATATATTTCTAATCTATTATTTTCATTTGAAGCAATATTTAAATGTATGTCGTTGTTTATTAAATATTAATGTTATAATAAGTAGTTAGCCTTATGCGAATACCAAAACTTTTATATTGTAATCTTTTTTTAATAAATGATTTATTGTTTTTTTTAATTTTATTTTTTATTATTCCTATATAATTCACTAAAGTGATAAAACTATACAAATACTATAATAATCTAGTCTATTGAACCGGGTTCAAATCCTAGCAAAGGCTGGTTGATTCGAATTCCGCACCCGGTTCGCTTCGACTTCAGTGCTGACGTAATTATATCCTTAGTGGTAAATGGATCAATGGTTAGAGTCCTCTTTTTATCAGGCTAACAGTGGGAAGCTTTCGTGGTTTCCCTCTCCATGTAACGCAAAATGGGTTTAGCTTTAATAAGAAATCCTCCATAAACACGAAATTTCTCCCAATACTTGATCCAGAAGTTCCCTTGTCTTTTGGATTGGGTTCAAAATTACTAGGTTACGGAGTTGAACATAGATGATCGGAAACCCAAAAATTAGGTCAGCTGTTCAACGACGGTTACAAACAAAATATACAGTGTTCAAAATTGGACATCAAGTTTAGTATTTTTATACTAAACATAGCATTATAAATATAGTATTTTTTTTAACATTTTGATAGACATCGTATAGTCAAGTTTTATCTTATTTTATAACCGTCGTTGAACAGCGGACCCAATTTTTTTTTTTTTTTTTTTTTGGTTTACGACAACTCATGTTCAACTCCGTAGTCTTGAAATTTTTAACCCAATTCAGAAGACAAGGGAACTCCTAAATCAAGTATTGGGAGAAATTTACCTTCGGGGAGGACTTTTTGATGGAACTAACCAGCATTTGCGTTACATGGAGAGGAAGACCACGAGAACCTCCCACGGTTAGCCTGACGGCAGGGGGACTCTAACCCATGATCCGTCTACCACTGAGGATATTTCACGTCAGCACTGTGGTCGGTGCAAGTATCGACCCAGGTTCGGATGCGGAATTCGTATCGATCAGCCATCGCCGGTATCGAACCCCGATTCACCTCATTGGAAGACGAACGCGTTATCCACTGAGCCATCTCGGCTCGTATAGTCGGTTAAAGTTTGTATTTAAGTGTATTTAAAATAAAATATTTTCATTGAGAAAAATTAATGGAGCAAATTTTTCAAAGAAATTATTCCCGCCACTATTTCTTTTGATGTTAATACCAAATAACTCTGAAACATCTTTAAATGGGAGGGTTGCTTGATTTCTTTCATTTTTTTTGTTAACCTTATGTGTGTAACCTTATGCAAGTAACCTTATGGAAGTTACTTGTTGAAATTTTGATCACTTACAAAATTGATGAAAGTTTACAACGTCTGTGGATATATGAATAATGATATCCTGTTGTAAAGTATTTATTTGGCATGAAAAAAAAACAGCTTCGCAGTCTCTGTGAATTTCGTTCAAGAGAAAAATAAACTTATCAATCATATGTTTCTCGCATGAGAATTTCATTTATTCACTCTTTTTTGTAAATTTTAATTTTTTGTTCGGGCCTGCCGACGTTCTACGTTTTCTAGGAATATGTCGTTTCGTGGTAGCTAAATTTATGTTTAAATGCATGATGCCTTGTTATATAAATTCGATTTAAAGTTTTTTTTCTTATCACTACATGCAAATGATTCAACAGTTAATATGAAACGCCAGATTGCCCTGGCTGCCTCATGGGAGAACTTTTAAAATGTTAAAAAAATTACAAAAATTTCTAAAATATTTAGATTTTAATTGTTTACTACTCTATGAAATATACTGTAATACTGCAAAAAGCGTAGATATGCGCAGCCCAGCGCATACAAATACAGGTTTGTGTACTCATTGCAAAGAGAGTACGATCTACAAACTCTTATAAGTTAGAGAACAGTCAGCATAAATTACAGAAGAACATGAAAAAGAACATTCATCCAGGTTTACGGATAGACTATAATCTCAATTTTGCGAATTATTAGTACCACATATTATATGTATTTCCGAGGGGAAACATGTATTCACGTTTTTCCCTTAATTAAGTTTGCTCAGATATTCTAGTTATGTATTTTTTTAAACTACCACATTATTTTAACATTTAGTTTAAAGCAGTGTTCTGTAGCATATTTTAATGCAATAATATATAATAATCAAATCCAGAAATCCAAACTTAGCTCTAATAAAACTACAAAGAACAAATAGATGAAATTGAAGACTGGTGTAGAAAATGGAAAATAGCCGTAAACGCTGACAAATCACAAATCCTCATCATACAAAAAAGAAGAATTAAAATTTTACCTCAATGCTAACCGAAACTGTTATTAATAGTACTCATAATTAGTAGTAAACTCACTTGGAACGACCATATTAAAAATATAACAGACAAAGCCAAAGCAGCAGTTAATATCATCTAACCTCTCATCTATAACCAAAGCGTCTCACTAAAAACCAGAAAATTACTATACACCTCCATGATCCGACCTATACTTACATATGCTTCACCTGCCTGGACTACTATACCCGAACACCTAATGAAAAAGCTCAACTAATGTCAAAATGAAATACTCAGAAAGATCACCCGTGCCAGATGGTTCATACGTAATTCAAATATCCACAAAGATCTCAAAAGTCCGTTTCTATCCGAATATATACGCAAATTAAATGCAGACTTTTACGACAAAGCCATAAAATGCAGCACAGCCAACTTCAATCAGATTTTTAACTTCGAGAACTATAATAAAGACGATAAACTAAGACCAATAGCCGCTCATTTCACCTCCGACGCCGCATACCACAACTATCAGCACAAATAATAGTCTTCAATTCCAGCATCTATAGTCTACATCAATAATCCGAAGTACCAATAGTCCACAGCATCAAACACTTTACCAATACTGAAATCCTGACTTATGTTACTTCACGTTGACAATCAAACTACAGCCATCTACAGATTACAGCAAGTTGCTCTTATTATTTTCATTTTCTTTCAGTGATACAAGCAAGGTGCTTGTCTCCCTGTAACAACCACCCCATAAACTGCTGAACTCAAACTGTCTTTTATTTTAACTATTTATACTATTTCATGATGTATGGGATATGGGCTTTCTGCGGGGCCCAGGTGGGCAAATTTTTTATAAATAAATAAAGAAAGAAGTGATGCAGTAATATGCAATGGGCAAGTAAGCTTGCATAAATTTGCGTATCATTAAATAAATATTTACTTGTAAAGCGTTTATAATTCTATAATTTTCGTGTATTTTTATTAATGACTACTTTGTGTCAGTTTTGAATACAAAGATAGATACATAATATCAACTGTAGAAAAGAATCAAAGACGAATTATTTTCATATTTAAACACAGTTTGACAATTTATATCAAGCACTTCGTCATTTAAAACATTTTTTGCTTCAATGTTAAGAGGCTGGGTTCAATCACAAATGATTATTTTATTATACAGAACATTGTATTTCTGCATCATACTGTTTGAGCAATTTTTTTCTTGGTCAAACAAGAAAATTTTTCTCTCTGGCAGGTGTCGAGTAAGTAATGATTCAGGATAAGTAATGTTCAGGAAACTGGTTCTCTTCTTTGCGTCCCTAAACTTCTTGTCACCTGAAAGCAATGTACCAATATGGTAAAAATTTAATTAACACATTCTCTACAGACGGCGTTGCTTTAGCACAATTTTTTTGTAGTGATGTTATTAATTTCAATAAAACAAAGTTATACGCAGAGACTCCAACCATTTAAGGCTGCTGCGAATTATTTTATTTAGTGGCAGTGAACTAATGCATAATTGTTTACCTTAAGGACTTCTTTAATGCTTTAATGTAAGCGTAATTGATGTGGCATCTGCCGTGCGGAACTTGCCAATTCATCGGATAATATTTTCCAGAGACGACGGATGAATGAAATACAAAGTATGGGTGAAAATACAATTTGAGTGAATAGTATATACAAAAAAAGAAGAATCCGAATAATAAAAGGTAAATAAAACAAAACGAGTCAGAATAATATAATTGAGAGATCGAATATATTAACCAGTTAACGCCCAGCGTCATATATCTAGGACAGTTCCTTTTTTCAAAGACATTCATTGTGGTGGGAAACTTTTTTCAGTATTTTCATTAATCTGGGTGAATTAAAAGATTCTCAGGTACTACAATGATTTAGTTATTTCTGATTAGATCTAGAATTATAAGGAGCAAGTACCTTTTGATCTATCAAAGACTTTTTGAATGCCATAACAGTAGAAAAACCAATTAATTTCGGTAATATATAGTACCACTTTTTCCATAAAACCACTTTTTGTATGATTTCAATATATATATTCGGGACAAAACGGGTTAAGGACTTCATTCGTCCATATGAGCTTATATGCATAAAATTACTTCTGCTTAGAGGTGAACAGAATTCCTGTAATTTTAATTTATTAAATATATAATTGTATCAACCTTCCTTTAAAAAATAATCAAAGTTAACACGGATAAATAAAATTGCAAAAAGAAGGTAAGTATTAAAATTCAAAGTAAATATTAAAATTCAGAATTCTATTTAAAGAGATTAATAACTGAAACCCTTTAGCGTTTAAAGAATAGTGGTTGCGAAACGTTTAAAAGCACTTCGTATTACACATATAGTGGTTTAAAATATTAGTTGAGTTAATGTTGCCTGTCTGACTATACTACACCACCGAAAAAGCTTTAAGTTAAAACTTGCAGATTATCGGTAAATTTTGCCAGCATTACCTCTATTTTGTTTAATCTGTTCTTTAACTTAAAAAAGGGTTTATGAGCCGTTTTTGTAAAGACAGTAGTAGTAGTAGTTAATTTACGTCGCACTAGAGCTGCACGATGGGCTATTGGTGACGGTCTGGGAAACATCCCTGAGGATGATCCGAAGACATGCCATCACAATTTTGATCCTCTGCGGAGGGGATGGCACCCCCGCTTCGGTAGCCCGACGACCTGCATGCGAAGTCGAGCACTTTATGGTAGAACAGTTTAACGAGAACCCATACCGCACACCCTTGGTCCCTACGCAGATAGACTGATCCAAG